TCCTCCCTAACCTTCTCCTGACAAGCTTCTAGTCCCACTTTCAGGCCTCAGTTTAAACGTCATTTCCACTGGGAAGCCTTGCCTGACTCCTCACTTCTGGAGTGGCAGCTCCTTCAAATGGCTCCAAAGCAAACACACAGTACTTTATCCCCAGAGTTACACGTGTGTCCCATCCACCAGGCCTGAGCTCTTTGAGGGCAGGGATTTTGTCTACTTCACAGCTAAATCCCTAGCACCAGGCATGGTACCTGGTTCATGTGTGTGTGTGTGTGTGTGTGTGTGTGTGAGAGAGAGAGAGAGAGAGAGAGAGAGAGAGAGAGAAAGAGATGCAAGGAAGCCAGTGAAGAGACAGATGCAATGAGAACCCTGGGGAAGGACGCACAAATAATTACAGAAGTAGGTCTTGGCAGACTGCACAGAAGTTATAGCCACTAGTGAAATGTGAAGGACTGGATCATGTAGTTTTGTCATTTTAAATTTTATTTTATGAAAGTGGCATGGTGTCATATCTATTTGCAAAATGCCCTTTTCCCCTATGATTATAGCTTGGTCATCTTTCCTCGTTTGTACTTCAGATTGTGATGGTTAATTTTATGTGTCAACTTGGCTAGGCTATGGTGCCCAGTTCTTTGGTCAAACACTAGTCTAGAAGTTGCTGTGAAGATACCGTGTAGAAGTGATTAACATTTACGATCAGTTGACTTTAAAGTTTTTTCTCGATGATGTGAATGGGCATGTAGGGAATGAAAAATTCTTCTCTACCTTCTTAGGGTGTCTGGCCTGCCTAAGAATTAAACTGACATAAGCCAGATTAACAGAAGAAAATCATACACATTTTATTAAACTTTACACGTACATGGAGACTTTTACAAGAGAATGAAGTTCCAAGGAAATGACCAGAGCTGAAAGCTTTTATACCCTTTAGGCAAAGAAATGATAAATTTGTGAAAAAAATGACAAGACAAAGGGGTTTGGCCTAAGGGCAGTAATTGTGGGGAAGTGACTAGAAGCTGTATATGGGGGCAGAGGGGTGCAAAACTAGTGGAAGATGAGGGTTATTCTAGTAGGTTTGTTCACACAGATCCATTTCCTTGTTGACTCCCAGTCTCTGGTGACAAGCATGTATTTCTCCTGGTACAGGGAGGGCACGTCTCTCATGGGAAATTTCATAACCTGCTTTCAGGTAGAAAGGGCAGATCAGAAAGCTCTTCCTGGATCTGCTGATTCTCAAGTGCCTTCAGCTCAAAATAATCAATATGCCAAAGCAGCACATCTTGAGACGGCTGTCCTCAACCCCTTCGGCCTCTTCCATCAGCTGAAGGTCGTAAGAGCAAAACTGAGGTTTCCCTGAGAAGCAGGAATTCTGCCTCAAGACTGTAACACAGGGGCTTCCCTGGTGGCGCAGTGGTTGAGAATCTGCCTGCCAATGCAGGGACACGGGTTTGAGCCCTGGTCTGGGAGGATCCCGCATGCCGCGGAGCAACTAGGCCCGTGAGCCGCAACTACTGAGCCTGCGCGTCTGGAGCCTGTGCTCCGCAACAAGAGAGCCCGCGATAGTGAGAGGCCCGCGCACCGCGATGAAGAGTGGCCCCTGCTCGCCGCAACTAGAGAAAGCCCTAGCACAGAAACGAAGACCCAACACAGCTATAAATAAATAAATTTATTTAAAAAAAAAAAAAAAAACGACTGTAACATAGGTGTGTGTGTGTCCCCTATCGGCTCTGTTTCTCTGGAGAACCCTGACTGATACACAGACCCACCTTATAGACCCACCCACCATTTCCTACCTTCCCTCTATATCTTTCTCATTTGTATTCTCTTCCTCAGTAAAAAAAAAAAAAAAAAAGCGATTAGATTCCATTTCATGAAAGTGAAGCCAGTGAGTAAAGAACATGTTAATTCTCATCAGGTTAAAAAGAAACAAAAGACCTTAGGGTGCTAGCTGATATATTTCTTTCTGTCTGCATTTGTCTACTTTGATGTTAAGAATGCCTTTGTATAAAACTATTTAAGGTATTTATTTCTATATTCATAAAAGACTGGAGTGGGTTTGTAAGTCCCAACTTATTTAAACTGCTACACAACAAATCAACTATCTCCCTACAGGTGGACATTTAAATTGCTCTCATCTTTTTGCCATTACAAGCAATACTTAATTTTTAAAAGACTAATCTAGGCTGTTTTATACATACCAAAGTGTAGGACTACTGGGCCAGAGGGGCTGTCCATTTAAACAGAACTGCCAAATCGCCTTCCCAGAAGGCTGTCCCCACCATCTGTCTCACCAGCAGAGGGAACGGGGTCATTTCCCTGCATAGTTAGCACATTTGATATTTTCAGTCTTCATTGTACCTTGCCAATCTGATAAGTGAAAAGTGATGTTATTTCACTTACATTTCCCTGATCATCAGGGAGTCTAACCATCTTTTCACATGTTTATTGACTGTTTGTGTTTTCTCTTCTGCAAATGGCAGTGTTATATCTGTAGTGTATTTCTCTAGGATAGTTTCCTTTTCCTCTCAATATGCATGATTCTTGATGTTCATTTTTTGTTATAGGTTACAAATATTTTCTCCTAAGCTATCAATTGTCTTTTAACTATGTTGTGTATTGTTTTTACTTTGATATATTCACATCTGTCTTTCCTTTATATCTTATGCTTTGTGTCTTTTGGTCCCGTTTAAGGTCATAAATATATTCTTCTTTATCTTTTTGCCATAGCTTTACAGCTTTATTATTTATGTTTAATTCTGGAATGCATCTGCAACATGTTTGCAGATCTATGTTTTGGGTTGTGGTTTATTTTTTCCCCCAAATGACTAGCTTATGATTCAAACACCAGTCATTCATGTCCCACTGATTTGAAACACCATGTTTTCTTCTTATTTTTAAAGAGTCTCTATTAAAATGCTTCTTTCCTTTTGATGTGTTAATGGGTCTGCCCCCCAAGCTGCGGAAGCTCATCTGCCCAAAATACAATAGAAACCAGTGAATGGTCCCACCTTCCCCAAGTGGGGCCAGACCTGTAGAGGGTCCTTTGGGGGCTGCTGGAAAATGGAAAGAACAACTGGATTTCTCCTGAGATAGTCAAAAACATCTAAACTGGGAAGGCAATCTGGAGGGAATGAGAAACCAAGAGGAAACGGATTCTCAGATCACTTCGGCCAGAGAGCCCAACTTCTTTCTGAGGGTCTTTCCAGACCCTGCCTATGAAAGCACGGGTCACCCAGGCACCATTGCACCAATGCTCTCAAATCTTTGATATGTAGCCACTGAGAACGGAATGCGAGTCCCATACTCTTCCCTAGTTTCCCGTTCTTAGATTTGAGGTGCAGGGACCAAGAGTCTCAAGCTTGAAGAAGGGAAGTGAGTGAATGGATCTTTCCCTGAGCACCTACCACATTCATCAAAGCAACACAGACCATGATTGAAGGTGCTATCATTCACCTAGAAATCCTTCCCCTCCTGGCTGTGTAGTCCTGAAACCATGTGCTCACCGGATCAATTTATTCCTAAGAAGTGAAGACTTCAGTTTGAATCTTTGAGATATAAGTTTCTGATGAAATGTCTAATGAAGCATTAATAGCCCATTGGTTAGAATCAGAATTTTTCCTAGAAAATCTTTGTGTTTTGTGGAGGAAGATGAAAATTTTTCGATTACGTATTAAATTTTACTGCTTCTGTTACTGCTGCCAAGCAGAGGTGGACTGAGGAACACTACTGAATCCTGAATTATATCCAAATTGAAATCCATCTTTGGGTGGTATGAACCACCTTGTCCAAAGCTAAAGTGGGAAAGGAATGTTTCTTCCCATGGTTTCTCCTAGCCCCCACCTCCCCACCACTGCCTTTTGCTTTAATCTAATGCATTATTTAATGGATTTTCTTTTTTTTTAATTAATTAGTTTATTTATTTTATTATTTTTGGCTGCACTGGGTCTTTGTGGCTGCCCTCAGGCTTTCTCCAGTTGCGGTGAGCGGGGGCTACTCTTCGTTGTGCTGCGCGGGCTTCTCATTGCGGTGGCTTCTCTTGTTGTGGAGCACGGGCTCTAGAGCGCAGACTCAGTAGTTGTGGTGCACGGGCTTAGTTGCTCCGCGGCATGTGGGATCTTCCCGGACCAGGTCTCTAACCTGTGTCCCCTACATTGGCAGGCGGATTCTTAACCTCTGTGCCATCAGGGAAGTCCCTGGATTTTCTAATATTGAATCATTCTTGAATTTTGGAGTTAAGCCTGATTTTGTCCTGATGTATCTTTGTTTTAAATATTTCTGGATTTGTTTGTGAATATTTCATTAGGTTTTTTTGGCCTCCAGGTCCATAAACATATATAGCAACTCTTGGGAAAGCAAGCTGAGATTTCTGATGCATATGCCACCCCGTCCCAATCTAGACATAATTTGGACAAATGAAGGGTCATTAACCAGTGCACTCTGGTTAGGGCCTAGGATAGATTAAAATATTTCCTGAAAATGTTAAAAAGGAAAAGTCAAGAGGTTGAGAAAAGTAGGTATTAATTTTTAAATATTAATTCCAATTAGCATGTGGCTTTGTCAATAGGTGACCACATTTTTCTATTCAAATAGTTGTTGGTTATCCAAATAATTGCTTCTAATAAAGGCTTGATCCAAAATTTTAGAATTTAATACCCATGAGATTTCTAACTCAAAACCTATCCACAATAAGACAAAAACTTCTAAGAAATTAAGTCAGCCGTTTATATATTTAAATATATATAATGTATATATTTATATACCTTGAATATATATAAGTATATATAATAAGTATATATAAAAAATAGACATATCTATTTTATAAGAAAGGAAATTAATCACTATAGGACTCAGACACTAGGTTCAAATTTTAAGCAAACCAAGACAAATTCTTAACTGATCTCTGTCCCTTTGGCCCACAGGTGAATAGCTGCTGATTACTTGGGCTGCTAGACTTAGAATCACAACCCTATTTGCCACTGTTCATGACAGAAGACAAATCAAAGTTGTTCTTTTCACACGTGGGTTTTATTTTTAGCCCTTGACACTGACCACAGACTCGCCTCTGGCTTCTAGACTTATCGTGAGCCCTTGGCTTCTGCTCCTCTGGATGTGATCTGGTGGATTTGCCTTTTGTTTCTCATCACCGGCATTCACTCACCTATCATTCATCTAGGGTCCTTAACAAGGTACCACACAAGGAGAAGAGGGCTCGAGGGGTCAGACTCACTACCTGCCTGCCTGGTTTTTCTGTACACAGGTGAGATATTCCTGCACATCATCCGGGGACCCTAGAATGAGGGGGACTCGTTGGTGAATGGCCTCAGGCTTCACGTCCAGCACAGGCTGGGTGCCTGTGGTCGCCATGCCTCCTGCCTGCTCGATGATGTAGGCCACAGGATTGCACTCATACAAGAGCCGGAGCTGCGGAGGAACAGAGTCAGGTGGACAAGTGTTGCAAGTTGTCAAAATTCCCAAGCCACGCCCCTAAAGCTCCACGAGGAATTCCAATTACTCAACTGCTGTCTCATTAGTGCGAGTGCATTTGCGCATCTCAGCGGAGCTGGCTGCCCGAGCCCTACACTCTCCAGGAGGCTGGGTGCCTCCGCTGATGCTTACCACATATGCCTTTGGGGACACCTCTGGTCGACATCTACCTGTCTTGTGACCTTTATGCCTATGAAAGCTTGGCCTTCTCTCTTGGGAGTATGAGATCTAGGTACTCATTTCTCTCTGGTTCCGCAGTGAGGTACACTGATTCTGCGGGGCCCGGTTAGGAGCTTCTATATGCCAGGCCTTATGGCCAGTCAAGGGTCTAGCTTGGATGGGATCGGAAGGTCACCTCGGGAGTGCTGGCCAGTCTCTCAGGATAACCACAGTGTCCGGCATCGTGGGAAGGAACATCTCAAGTGTCGACTTGGCCGAACAGTTTGCTGGTGTTTAAATGGCCTTTCCTTTTGGCCCCTTAGACTAAGTTAGTTAACTCTCTCGTTGCATGCTCTCCCACAAAATCCCGTACTTCCCCTTTCATAACAGTCCAGACTCTGAAGTTTGTTTAACATCTGCCTTCCTCATTGGACGCCCTCCCTTGAGGGCAGGGGAGGGGTCTGTCAGGTTGGTCTTTGTGGCATCTCCATTCCTAGTACTGCCTGACATGTAGAGAGTGTCCAAACAAGGCTACCGTGTACATTGCACAGGGGCTCCAAGTGGAGGGCAGAAATGGGGGTGGGGGAAATCAGCCTGCACCTTTGTTTGCCAGGCCAGGTACATGTGTCCAGGGCCGAGCCTGTTCTGAGAAAGAAATGCCTTTCTAAAAGGCACTGTGAGAACTAGCGGGTGTCTGTCCTGTGTCCAGTTAGAATATGGTGAATTGACTTGAAATGGGCTGACTGAATGTCCTTTCTGGGTCTACTTCTGTCATTATGTTCTGACTCCCTCCCCATCCCCTGACCCACAGCGGACACACACACACATCACATTAGATTCAGGGTGACATTCTAGCTGCACGCTCTGACTCAGTATCATACTATCTTCTCCTTCCTTCCCCCATAGGTACAAAATCTGTAGTTAAAAAATTTTTCTCCTTTTCTGCAATGAGCTTTCAAAGTGGTTGATCTAGCTCTGTGCAGCCTTTTTCTTTCCATTCTTTTCTTGAAATGCGTTTGTTAAAACTACTTGGAGAAAATAGTTATATCTTGTGCTGATTTTTAAATTATTGTTATTTCAAAGAGAGGAACAAAATATCTCCAATCTGGGTTGGAGAGCCACGCATCGAGGAGAAAGTAAATTAAGACTGTAGAGGGCATTTGTTGCCATTTTGGGAAAACACCATACCATGCTTTTGTTTGTATCATGTTGATTCAGATACAATAAATAAATAAGTAAACAAATAAACAAATAAGCACAGCATTCTTGCATAAAGCTTGTCTCCGAGGCAAGGTTTGTTCTGACCTTAAAATGTCATTGTTGTAGTAAACGCATCTTAAAACACAATGTCCGGATCATCATGGTACCTTGACCTGCAGGCCATGCAATCTATTTTTTTTCCACGATTAAAATCTACACTGCTCTACAGAGACAAGCGCACATAGGAGGAGAACCCAACCACGCACCCACACACACAGATGTGGACACAGAGACCTTGAGAGCTAAAACATGGAGGTCAGAAACCAATGATACTTTCAATGTGGTGCTATGAATATAGATCTATATATGCAATTATACATGCTTATGGAAATGTTTCTGTAATTATATGTGGATATTTTAAGACTCATTTTAAATCATCTTAATAATTAGTAATGATTAGTCTTAATGTTCTCCCCATTGGAAATGCGTTCGTGACAAGAGCGGTTCTACTTAAGAATATCCACATTAAAAAAAAAAAAAAAAAAAATAGTGGGGCTTCCCTGGTGGCGCAGTGGTTGAGAGTCCGCCTGCCGATGCAGGCGACACGGGTTCGTGCCCCGGTCCGGGAAGATCCCACCTGCCGCAGAGCGGCTGGGCCCGTGAGCCATGGCCGCTGAGCCTGCGTGTCCGGAGCCTGTGCTCCGCAACAGGAGAGGCCACAACAGGGAGAGGCTCGCGTACCCCAAAAAAAAAAAAAAAAAATAGGGGACTTCCCTGGTGGTGCAGTGGTTAAGACTCCACACTTCCACTGCAGGGGACGTGGGTTCAATCCTTGGTCGAGGAACTAAGATGCTGCATGCTGCGCGGCGCGGCCAAAAAAGAATTTCCACATCTTCTACTCTATCTCACTTAATACTCCGTAACACTTTTCTTTCCTCCAGCACCTTTTGTGCAGATTTATCTGTGACTCTTAGTTCAACCAGCTAATACAGGTGAGCTAAACACTCATGTGAAGAAAGATGTCTGACATACCAACCTGCATATTAAAATCTCCTCTCTGGTCTCATGTGCTGTGTTAGGTTCCTTACCGTGGCTTTGAATCTGGCATTCCAATAATTCAGGTCGCCCATGCTGAGAGACATATATACATGTGGCTACTTGTTAGTGTGTCAGAGAATACGACAGGGCTTTGTCTGGATTTGTCTACCCACCTATGATTCTGTGACTGGCTAAAAATCAGGCACCTTGCCATGGCGGTGTCTATTCAAAACAGACGCATTGGGATCAGAAAGTTGCAGTGAGACCTTCCAGGAGCTACCTTTCCAGAAATATTGAATGAGTTCTGAGCAGAACTGCTTAGTCTGGACTTTGGGAACTCTCTATGGAATTTTTGGGTAGACCTCAGATCATCGTGAACCCCCGAAAACATATGTAATGTGTACGTTTACGTGTAATTTTCTTCTGGGAAGTGGGTCCATAAGTTTCATTAAATTCTCAAAAGGGTCTATGATGCAAAATCAGTTGCTGATGAAGCTAAAAGACAGACACAGCATTGGGAAAGTGGGAGATGAACACAGTTGACTCACAGTGAATTGAGGGGCGTGAGGCCCGCGGAAGTGAAGGCCAGTGACGATCTCCAATAACAACAACTTCAGCCACCTCCTTCTCCACACCTTCTACCACAGCCTCAGAATTCACTAATGGGATAGAGACTTCGTTTCTCTTCCACCTGCCCACTCGCAGACAGACATGCCAAGGACAGGGCAGTAGCCAAAAAGCAGACATGATGAGAAAGCGAATTCTGACTGGTTCCCTGAACGGGTTCAGCCAGCAGACAAAGGAGAGTTACCTTGCCCTTCGGATTTTTCTGGTTCGCTGGGTACAGGAAGATCCCTCCATAGACCAGGGTGCGGTGCACGTCAGCCACCATGGAGCCCACATACCTGGCCCCATAGGGAGCACTGCCATCCTAGAAGGAAAGAGACAAGATGCAGTGAGCTTAGCAATTACTCAGCACCTGCTTCAGGTCACACATCCAGCTGGTGCGACCTCTGCATTCCAGGGCCTCCTTCTTCCACCCACTAGCTTAGGAATTGAAAATATTATATAACTGAGCATTCCATTCATTCGGAGCCCCCAAACCTCAACTAGTGATTGGACTCATTAAATGTTGGACTACTTAAAGTGAGAGACAATATGTGTCCTAAGACAGAAGCTAACAAGTAAAAAAAAATTATTTTTTAAAGAAAGAAAAAGGAAGTACAGACAAACGCCAACTGTTTGGCTGTTCCTTGAATCTCCTCCTTGGCCCCCAGATTTCAGAGCACTTTTCAGCTTTCTGAAAACCAGATTCCCTTGAACCATGACAACTTTTGCACTTAGTGTAAGCAGTGTTTATTCACTGGCAAAGTTATTTTAAGGAGCCTTAGAAATCATGCAGAGAAATACAACAACTTCCTTATAAACCTCAATTTCATTAGTCATGTAATGAAAAGAATATTTGTTCTGAAAAAAACAAAGTTCATCATTTCCCTCAAGTAGGGCATGTCAGGTAAGGCACGACTATCTGATGAAATGGTTTGGGCAGGTTTGCTTTTCCTCATTCAGCGACCCATCTGAGACTTCTGTGTCTAATCTAATAATTCTCTGACAGCGCAGGGAAACACCAAACTTCCTCAGGGCAGATATCCAGTGTTTTGTGTGGCATCAGCCATAATAAAATGCATTGATTTCATAAGCATTTATATTCATAAGCCCCTCCATCAGTCTGTGACGCCCTTGGGGAAAAGACTTCCTGCTTGATCTTGGCATTCCCTGAGCCCAGCCTGGTGTGAGGCAAAAAGTACGTGCTGGGAAAATACCTACTGAATCTCATTTACGTGAGATTTCTTGAAAGCACTACTCAGGTTGTTACCTTAAAAATTACATGGGAGGTTTTGCCTCCTCCATTTTATTCACAGAATGATATTAAGTATATAAAACACCTCCAGATGCCAATTAAGAGACTTTTCAGTAGGTAAAAGAACACAGGTCTGAATTAGACCAATGGCCATAGGGATGAGAGATATTTAGGAAATAGAGTTAATAACACCAAGTGAATGATTAGACGTGGGCATAAGAAAGAGGTAATCCTCTCGACTCATCCCCCGAATGTTGTTGGGCATGAGCAGGATGGTTGAGGCAGTGTGGATCAAGAGAAGAAGAACCTGGAAGGAGCAGAATTGGGGGTGTATGTTTAGTGGGGGGTGGGGGATAGGAGCGTCAGAGTTGGACATGTGGAGTTCTAGGTGTCTGAGGAGCAAGCAGATCTGAATTCCATCAGAAGAGACTGGATGAGTTCACCCTGGCAGGATACCAAGTGTGAGCTGAGAGGTTTGTTTGGAATAAAGTCCTGTACCAAGCTTGAAGGGCAGGCAGAAGTGTGGAAGCCAGTAAAAGAGGCTAAGAAGATGATTAGGAAGGTGGACGTAAAACCAGACACAAGACCAAGGAAGGGGTAAACAGCCCTAAATGCCATGGAAAGGTCAGGTGACGTAAGGTGGAAACCTGACGCTGGGTTTGGTAACACAGATAAAAGAGGATTATAAAGGGCAGACAATGCAGCAAAGAGGGTTAAAGAGGGAATGACAGGAAAGAAAACTTTAAAAAAAAAGGAAACATCCTTCCAACTTCTGGGTATTTATCCTAAAAAACTAGGAAATAGAATCTCAAAGAGATTCTCCATACCCATGTTCACTGCAGCATTATTCACAATAGCCAAGAAGTGGAAGCAACCTGAGTGTCCACTGACAGATAGGTGGATAAGAAAATGTGGTATATACACACCGTGGAATATTATTCAGACTTGAAAAAGAAGGAAATCCTGTCACTTGTTACAACATGGATGAACCTTGAGGACATTATGCTAAGTGAAATGAGCCAGTCACAAAAAGACAAACACGACATGATTCCACTTACCTGAGGTATCTAAGGTAATCCAGCACATAGAAACACATAGGAGAATGTGGTTACTAGGGATGGGGGAGGGGAGGAGGAAATGGGGAATTGTTGTTCAATGGATGTAGAATTCCAGCTTTACAAGATGAAAAAAAGCCCTAGAGATCTGTTGCGCAACAGAAGGCTTAGATTTTAATCCTGGCTCTACCAGTTAAATAAGGTCATCTTTACTCAAGTTACTGAATAAGGAAGAACAAATCTGACTCCATATTGGATCTGTTTATTTTACTTTAACCTTTGTATTCTCTAGCTTTTGCTACAAATTAAGAATGCTGCCTCTAGGCTGAAATATACAGGACAGCCCATTCTCAAGGCTCTGACCTTCAAAGGTCACTTTTCCATTCAGGTAGAGATAAAAAGTTGCAGAACAGAGAATAACATTTGTCTTGTTGTAGATTTACAGGAACATCCTGACTTGACCTATGTTGACAGCTGCAAGAACAAAGGATTCTGACACCAAGAAGTCTGCAACAACCAGTCACACCCCCTTCCCTTTTAGTATAAGAGAAGCCTGAATTCTAACTCAGGTAAGGAGGTTCTTTGGGACACTAGTCCACCATCTCCTTGGTCTGCTGGCTTTCCCAATAAAGTCGCTATTTTTTGCCCCAGTAACTCATCTCTCTATTAGCCTCTATTGCCATGCAGCAAGCAAGAAGAGCTTGAACTCAGTAATATTACTTGACTGTTCAGGGCCTCAATTTCCCCATATGTAAAATGGGGACTGTGGTATTAACACTTATCTTGTAGTCTGTTGGAGAATTGAATGAGTTAGTACACAACAAGCACTAGGAACAGTGTCTGACACAGTATACACTAGCTACTATTATCATGACTGATAGAAGAGTTCAGTCAGGGATAGGAGAAGCTGCTACTGTCAGGAGACAAACAGCAAAGGAGGACTGCTCCTTCCACAATGGCAGAGGGTAAGGAAAAGTGCCTGGACCACTTCCCATCTCCCAGGGGTGCGGTGTGTGGGAGAATGGCAGCCGGAACACAAAGATCCTGCAGGGAAGCAATGGCCTCAGGAAGAATGAGGTGTGGGAGGAGCACTGCCTGCTCACACTCGAGAGGGGCTTCCCGAGGGCAAAAGTACAGGAGAGGGGCCTTCCCTGGTGGCGCAGTGGTTGAGAGTCCGCCTGCCATTGCAGGGGACACGGGTTTGTGCCCCAGTCCGGGAAGATCCCACATGCCGCGGAGCAGCTGGGCCCGTGAGCCATGGCCGCTGAGCCCGCGCGTCCGGAGCCTGTGCCCCGCAACGGGAGAGGCCACAACAGTGAGAGGCCCGCGTACCGCAAAAAAAAAAAAAAAAATTTATGTTTTTTTTTTATACGAGTTTGGTTTTTCAGTGGTAAAATATGTATCTTCCTTTATGGGTTCTAGAAGAGGCACATTTTAGTTTAGAATGGGAACCACCGTGAAATCATCTCCAAGACTGGGAACTTGTAAATAATTTTGACTTTATCAACCTCACAATTCATATCCTGTTACTTCTGCCCTTAAGATGTCTAACAGGTTTGTGCATGACAGCAAAGGAGAGGTACAGGAGACTGCACTTCTAAGAATTTTGCTTAAAGAACAAACAGAACAGAGAAAGAAGAAAACTCTCTAAAGCTTCCGTTTGAGGCAGCAGAGGCAGGTCCCAGCACCCTGTTAACTAACTGCTCTGCACCCTCTGGAATCCTGAGCTTTTTCGCCCTGGAGCTCGTGAAGGGCTTCCCGGGACAGCCAGGCTGGCACATCACACCCCTGCTTTCCCAGCCACTTCCAGTGTAGGTCAGACTTCACATTCTTGATCTGAAAATGCTCTGACTCCTTCCCACACCTGTCTTAAAAGCGCTCTTTGTACGGCAGACATACATACTGGATTGTTTGGGCTATATTTTTTGTTTGTTTGTTTGTTTGTTTTGTGGTACACGGGCCTCTCACTGCTGTGGCCTCTCCCATTGCGGAGCACAGGCTCCGGACACGCAGGCTCAGCGGCCATGGCTCACGGGCGCAGCCGCTCCGCGGCATGTGGGATCTTCCCGGACCGGGGCACGAACCCGTGTCCCCTGCATCGGCAGGCGGACTCTCAACCACTGTGCCACCAGGGAAGCCCGGTTTGGGCTATATTAATAGCCACATGAAGTCTAGGACTCGGTGATCACACTGAGAGCCAAAGACCTTCCTAAAACTTGGAGTAAACACCAGGCCCTGATATTAGAGCATAGGAATGGTACTTTTAAATGTAATTATTCCACCTAAATACAATTAAGTGACCAGAATCAGCACAGGTGGTAGCTGAGCAAAACATGACAGGGGAGATGCTCTGACCCGAAACTCTGGATTTTGAAATATTGGTCTCTCCCTTCTTCATAGACAAGTTCTCCTGGAAAAACTCACCTGGAGAGTATTATCTATACTACGTAAGTTTTAGCTATGAAAGACTTTGATTGCTTACGAAGAAAGTCAGAGTTTCCCATTCTCATACGGTCCAGAGCCATAAACAGGGGCATCAACCTCTTTCAGCCAGGCCCCGACAGCCATCCCCCAAACAGGAACCCACTGAGACAGCATTCCCCCTGCTTCTGCCTTAGCTTTCTTCACTCACCTCGGGAAATTTCTTTTTCTGCACATATTCTGTAGTGGCGGCGTCAAAATACTTGGCATAGCCCTCATTGAGGCTGTAAATCTTTCCTTTGTTTTTAATCTTGACGTCTTTTTCCACCAGGACAAATTCACCAAGAGCCTAGAAAGGTGAAAAGAAACACCAGGAAGAAGAGAGATACCAGGAAACAGAAGCCAACAGCACACACCGACAACCAGAGAACAGTAGAAGATGTGGGTCTGCTAAAAGAACCCTGGGGTTTGCCGGGTCCTCTGCAGCCTGCCCAGTGATGTTTTTATGAGTTGTATAAGAACAGTGACAATACGGAACCTGCACAGGCAGCTCAAGCAGTGATATAACAAGAAATAAAATAATTCAAAGGAAAAAGAGGGAAAATTTCCTTTGTAACTTTCACCGTAGCTAGGTTACTCATTTGTAAAGAACCTAGCTGTATTTATCCCCCAAGTTCTCACCCCCGGTTAATTCCTAATGTTTTCAGGAAGATTTGGGCCATCAACAATGAGAGGAAAGAGTTACTCAAATGGGATTTGTCATGAAAGTGGGGGATGCAGTTAGACCACTAATTTGTGGTCCAGTTATTTTTCTTTAACTTATTTATCCTGTATTTCCTATAATGTTTTTGCCATCCTCTTCCACATTCAGTTCAGCTTTTTCTTGGGGCGGGGGGGGATGGCGGGCGCATGGTGAGGCACGTGGGATCTTAGTTCCCCAACCAGGGATCGAACCTGTGCTTCCTGCATCGGAAGCGTGGAGTCTTAACCACTGGACCGCCAGGGAAGCGCCCAGTCATTTTGTTTATCTTAACGACTCAATGTTGGAAACCATTCAAAGTTCCTTGTATCCCAACTACTCTTATATGGGTAAAGAGAAATCCCTTCAGTCAGAAACTGTATTCGCTCAGCATGAGGAACAGTTGATAAATGGTTTTTTTTGTTTTTTTTTTTTTGCAGTATGCGGGCCTCTCACTGCTGCGGCCTCTCCCGTTGCGGAGCACAGGCTCCAGACGCGCAGGCTCAGCGGCCATGGCTCACGGGCCCAGCCGCTCCGCGGCATGTGGGATCTTCCCAGACCGGGGCACGAACCCGTGTCCCCTGCATCGGCAGGCGGACTCTCAACCACTGCGCCACCAGGGAAGCCCGATAAATGTTTTTTAAATCCTCAGAATTAGAGCGCTGACAGTCTCATCCCTAGGAATGTACTTAGCTAGCTGCAGATTCACTTTGAAAGGCTGGATGTCTCTCTAAGTCACTAGGAAGAAAATCAGACCCTGGAAATCTAATCAGTTTTGATTAAGCTTTGAAGACTGAGAAAATAAAAATCCCCCATGACGACAGCTCGCAGCTAGAAGGCTCCGAATGAACGTCTACGACACTCCCACAAAGAGACAAGTCCACACTGACCGTATCTGAAATAAGACAACGATGAGGATATTCAAATGCAAAAACAACTCAACACGCCTCTCTTCTGCCACATGTGAGGGATGAGTGCTTCTTTACCACTGAATCTCTACCCTCACTTTAAACTTCCCACCTCCTACACACAAACTGAGATACACCATCAATCATTATACCCACATCTAGACAACACCCAATCCAGAACTGACCCTCTCTTTCTCAAATACTCCTTAGAATCATCAAGCAAAACCCCAAGGGCTATAATAAGCCCAAGCCAGCCCCCTCTTAGCACAGTGCCTCATGGTTCCTCCAGAGTGCCTTCTCCCTTGCTAGTAAACCAGCTTCTTATGTTGCGGGGAAGTACCTGATGGTTTCTGGATCGTGAGCTTTAATCACTGACTCTGGACATTTGTTGCTTTGGAGCAGCTCAGCATGGAGTTCCATGTCCTAAAAGTACCCGAACTTCCTTTGAATAATTAACTTTTCTCATTGGAGGCCAGTCTAAGGAGACTCTAAGCTGGGCCTCCTCTAGCCCAAGGTCAGGCAATTGACTGAGCTTAACAAATTACATACCCCTTCCTGGCATTTGAAACCTGAGGAGAGACACAGCATCAGGGGTGGTGTCCAGACCAGACAGGCTGTCCTGTGGGACCGTTCCTGTGAATCCCGCTTCCCAGACCTGCCCATCTCTAGCCTGGGGCCTGAGCTTTCCCATTAATACAGTAAGTCCTTTACTTAGTTTAGCCAGGATCCTTTTCTTTTTGTTTATCAGCAAAGATCAAAGACAGATACTGTTGTCTAAATAATGTCTTCTCTTACTTATCCACCCCAGGGGCTGTGGGTGTAGACACTCAGGCCCCTGGAGAGTTGTTCCCTATTGTGGGATGGAGGAACTGGCTGTAGAGCCTTACTCTAACCTGGAAAATAAATGCCTTTTTCTGACTGTGTGATCACTGGCACCCACTGAATATTAAAAAGGCCTCCCACAGGGCTTCCCTGGTGGCGCAGTGGTTGAGAGTCCGCCTGCCGATGCAGGGGACACGGGTTCGTGCCCCGGTCCGGGAAGATCCCACATGCCGCGGAGCAGCTGGGCCCGTGAGCCATGGCCGCTGAGCCTGCGTGTCCGGAGCCTGTGCTCCGCAACGGGAGAGGCCACAACAGTGAGAGGCCCACATACCGCAAAAAAAAACCAAAAAAACCCAAAAAGGGCCTCCCACAGCTTTGAGAAGAGGGTACCTGATTATCAGGCACCATATCCTTGTCACCCAGAAATGATATCTGCTATTTGTAAACAAATGCCTTGTCATTGTGGCTTATACCACAGTTGAGAGTTTGGTTAACGTGAGGCGGTCTCTCCGTGCCTGAACAAAATGTGTGCTCTGACAAAATCAAATTACCAGCCCTGCAAACTCACAGATCAGGCAGGCTCTCAGTTGACCCACCAAGGAACTCTGGCCTGTGAGGCCCTGCCTGAGTAACCTGCTGGCCACCCTCTATGGTTTTCTACCTGTGACAATTGCCATAAGCTGCTCCAGCTTGAAGTCAACCTTTCAAACTGGTCCTCAGCTTCATACACTGCGTCCTTGCTCAAGTGTCCTTTGTAGGAGGGCGATGTGATGCAAAGGGTTTTCAGGCTAATAAAGAGAGCTCAGCAGAGAGCGTGCTATGGTTCGTCTCTTCTTTCTGATGTGTAATCAAACTGTCTGGCCTACCTGTATCCAGACTGGGCCTCCCTGTCGTGACCGAAGGTGGAAAGCATGAGCCGTGTCTCTAGAATCCTTCAGCTGGCCCCCTGAGCCAAAGGCACCTCCCTACTACCCTTAGAACCACTTCAGAATGTTCTTGGAGATATTTTGCTTGTAATCGAGAGAGTTTATTCAAAATTGTCTGGTATGACAGTTAAACACAAAACTGCCTGTGAATTGGTGTGCCAAGGCCACTTCCTCTGTGTGTGCGTTTATGTGTGTTTATGTGTGTGTGTTGGGGGCGGTGGGTAGGGGAGGAGTCCCACACATACTGTTAAGGGAACCACTGACAGAAACCGCCCGCCCTGGTCAGGTACCACAGTAACCACTTGCATGAGTTATCTTACAACAGGAGGTCCTGGTAAGGAACATGGAACTAATAAGCTACCGCCAACTGGAAGATTTCGGTAAAGGTCAAAAGGAGAGAGGAGACCCCAGTCCATATATATATCCTACCAACCTCCCAGAATCCTTCTTGGCTGAGCGATGCAGGCACCACCAGGAAGGACCCTCAGTCAGAGACAACCCCGAAACTAATCCCATCACCATAAAACCCAAGACCGTGAGCCACGTGGCAGAGCAGTCCTCCTGGGCTCCCTTCCCCTGCTGCTCTCCGCCCGGGCGCCCCTTCCCAGTAAAGTCTCTTGCTTTGTCAGCATGTGTGTCTCCTCAGACAATTCATTTCCAAGTGTTAGACAAGACCCCACTCTCGGGCCCTGGAAGGGGTCCCCCTTCCTGCAACAATTCAACCAAGCAATTCTCGGACACCAGCAGTGTGTCTGAAATTCAACTCAATTCTGACACTATCTACACAGAGATAGCATCAAATTCTACAAGTGAAGGGTTCAGTCCTAGAAGTCTGCCCTCTCCCAAAGTGGGGACACTTCAGACGCCAGTTCCAAACCCAGGTTGTCACCTATAACTCTGACCGGCCATAAATCAGAGGTTCCCAGGATGAAACCAAGCAGGGCCCTGTGGGGCTCCCAGGCATAGAGGCCTTTCTGTCCCCCATTTCTTGCAGGCAAGACTCCAGCCTCCATGACTTTCCCTGAGTTCCAAAGGGCAGATTCGAATAGTTGCTAATTAAGAGAGGAGCAGCCATGAAACCACCTAAGGTAAGATAAAAGGCACCAGAGAAGCTCATCAAGATTAGGAGACCTGACCACCTGAGACCCTGCACAACCCTAATCTTGTCAGCACCCCCACCCTTTCGAAACTTTACAGAAGAAAGAATGCAAGACTGTTACTGCCTTGATCCTTATCACATACCTCTGGCCATGAGCCCAGACTATAAGACCTCTCCCTATTCCCCAGGGAGGGGGGCACAGTGCTTGAGGCGCTAGCCTACTGTGTTCCCTCTTTGCCTGGCAAAGAAATAAAGCTTTCTTTCTCTCCACAACTCTGTCTCCATATTTCTGTTCAGCAGCAGTACGCAGGAAAGCCAAGATTTTGGCATCAAGGACCTCTTTCTCAGGGCAGTTAATTTGCTACAGTGGCTCCCAGAACTCAAAGAAGCATTTTACTTACTAGATTACTGGTTTCTTATAAAAGTCTATAACTCAGGAACAGCCAGATGGAAGAGATGCCCAGGGAAGTGGTGAAGAGCTCCACTGCCCTCTCCAGGCTCACCACTCTCCTCAGTCTCAACCCAGAAGCTCTCTGAACCCAGTCCTTTGGGTTTTTATGGAGGCTTCATTATACAGGCATTATAGGCATGATTGATTAAATCGTTTGCAATTGATCCAACCTCCAGTCCCTTTCCCCTCCTCAGAGGCCAGGGGGTGAGATTGAAAGTCCCAACCCTCTAATCAGGTGGTTGGGTCCATTGGAAACCAGCCCCCATCTTCAGGAGCCTTCCAAAAGTCACCTCATTACCATAACAAAAGACCCCTTTAGCACTCTCAGCACTTAGGAAATTCCAAGGGTTTTGGGAGCTGTGAGCCAGGAACCATGGATGAATAACAAATATATGAGGAATATATTTTGGTCATCTTGAAACCGTGCACCTCAGATTGGACCTTGAACCCCTGTGCCAGAACTCGAACACAGCCTAAACCCAGATTGGGACTTGAACCCACACTGCTAGGACTCAAACCTGGCCAAAACCCAGTCTTCCAACCGAGATCCCACACCTGGTTTCAGGACTTAATGAAGCTCATGTTCTTGATGTCTCACTGCAGAAAGAATTCAGTGAGTGACAAAGTGATAGGTAAGAAGTGGATTTATTTAGAGAGAAACACACTCCACAGAGCGTGGGCCATTTCAAAAGGTGAAAAAGGAACCAGGGTATGGGGCTGTCAGTTTTTATAGGGGTGGGGAATTTCATAGGCTAATGAGTGGGAGGAGTATTCCAGCTATTTCAGGAAGGGGCGGGATTTCCAGGAATTGGGCCACCGCCCACTTTTTTGATCCTTATGGTCAGTCTTGGAACTGTCATGGCACCTGTGGGTGTGTCATTTAGCTTGCTGATGTGTTACAGTGAGCATATACTGAGGCTCAAGGTCTAGTGGAAGTCGACTTGTCCGCCATCTTGGACCCATTTTGTTCTAATCAGTTTAAGTCATGTCCTCGAGCTATGTCATTCTTTCAAAGGTCGTGCCCTGCCCCCTTCCCTCCTGGTTCAATCTGAATGATCAAATTTATTTTTTTCTTATAAATCACAATTGTCACAGCCTGAGTGTGACTCTTGGCTCCACTGCTACTAGCATGACCTTGGGCAAGTTACTTACCCTCTCTGTGCCGCACTTTCCTCGTCTGAAAATGAGAATAATAGTAGGACCTACCCTCACAGGGCTGCTGTGAGGCTTAAATGCATTAATATATGCAAGTTGCTTAGAACAGATACCTATCCACCACTTAATAAGCACTGTCTAACTGTCAGCTGCTATACTGAGAGTATTATTGTAGCAGGGAAGAGCTAAATCAGACTCCATGTTGATCTGTTTCTTTGACTTTAACCTTTGATTTTTGTTGCTTTTGTTATTATAATCATACATAATGGCCTGCCACAGGGAACCCTTACCCTGTGCCTGAATGTTAAACTAAAGTGCCTTTGCTTAGGTCACAGGGAGATAATCTGACCCTGACCACCTGTGAATGGCTGCACAAAAGAAGAAATTAACACATCACCTCCCGATGTTGGCCAAGACAGGCAAAACTAATGGCCTCTTCACTTCCTCACCTCCTCCCAGTCTCTGTTGTATAAATGAAACTAGCATCCAGACCCCAGTAAGATGGTTTTTTGGGGACCCTAACCTGCCATCTTCTCGGTCTGCCGGCTTTCCAAATAAAGTCGCTATTCCTTGCCTCAACACCTTGTCTCCAAATTTATTGGCTGTCGTGTGGCAAGCAGAACAAGCTTGGCCTCAGTAACATTATTTGTGAACTACAGATTCCTGCTTCTACGAAAATAAGGAGAAATTAGAGCATCAGTAAACCGACACAGCAATGCGTTTTGCTCTGATGGGTTTATATGTGAAAAATTTAGACTTTAAAATGTACCAGATGGACTTCCCTGGTGGTGCAGTGGTTAAGAATCTGCCTGCCAATGCAAGGGGACACGGGTTCAAGCCCTGGTCCAGGAAGATCCCACATGCCGCGGAGCAACTAAGCCCGTGCACCACAACTACTAAGCCTGCACTCTAGAGCCTGCAAGCCACAACTACTGAGCCCACGTGACACAACTACTGAAGCCTGTGCGCCTAGAGCCCATGCTCCGCAACAAGAGAAACCACAGCAATGAGAAGCCCACGCACCGCAACAAAGAGCAGCCCCCACTCACCACAACTAGAGAAAGCCCACATGCAGCAACGAAGACCCAACGCAGCCAAAAATAAATAAATAAATAATTTTTAAAAATAATAAATAAATATTAAAAAAATAAAAGATACCAGATTTCCATACTATAAAGTTTAGTTTAACTGTTTTGAAATTTGTAACCCCCTTCCCTCCACTCACATGTGAAACAGGAAAGAAGGGGACAGGGCACAACCTTTAAAAGAATGACAGAGCCATTGAGGACACAACAAAAACTGGTTAGAATCAATTAGGCTCAAGATGGCAGAAGACTTGACTTCCAGTGGACCTTGAGCCTCGTATATATACGCTCAATGTAATACACCAGCATATGCTAAATGACACACCTACCAGCACCATAACAGTTCCAAGGATGACCATAAAAGGCCAAAAAGTGGGCAGTGGCCCAATTCCTGGAAATTTCTGCCCCTTCCCCAAAATAGTTGGAATAACCCTCCCACTCGTTAGCCTATGAAATTACTCAGCCCATAAAAAGCTAACGACCCCATATTTCTGGGCCTCTTGCCTTCTGAGATGGCCCACACTCTGTCTGTGGAATATGTTTCTGTTTTGGCCACTCTCACATTCCAAGACAACCCCATGTCCTGTGGCCATTCTCGCCTTTTGAGGCAGATTCTGTGCATGCAATGTGTATCTCTCTAAGTAAATCCACTTCTCACATATCACTTTGTCTCTCACTGAATTCTTTCTGTGATGAGACATAAAGAACCTGAGACCTGAGACCAGGTGTGTGATCTCAATTAAAAGACAGTTCAAGTCCCAATCTGAGTTGTGCGGTTTCACATGCACCAGCATGTAAAATCCTGAAATGTTTGTCTAAAATGTTTGTTTGATCAGTGCATTATCTCCCTCCACTGCCTAGAATGGTATTTGGGGACACACTAGATGCTCAATAAACATTTGTAATTTCAAATTAAGTTGAGATACTGAACAATAGCTTTTGCTTCACAGAATACTGGAAATTTTGAAATGGACTTTGGGCAAAATTATTTGAGGGCTTCCCTGGTGGTGCAGTGGTTGAGAGTCCACCTGCCGATGCAGGGGACACGGGTTCGTGCCCTGGTCCGGGAAGATCCCACATGCCATGGAGCGGCTGGGCCCGTGAGCCATGGCCGCTGAGTCTGCGCGTCCGGAGCCTGTGCTCCACAACGGGAGAGGCCACAACAGTGAGAGGCCTGCATACCGCAAAAAAAAATTTGAGTTTTCACAAGACCTGATTATATTTAGCAAAGTAGTTCACAAGTAATAAGCAAAGCATTCAGCGTTTAAAAGAGAAATTCTATAAGTTACACATATTTTCCAAAATTTCTCCTGAACATTTTTAATGTACATTTGCCATGAAGGCTCACCCTTTACTTTTGAACTCTTGTGTCTTTATCCAATTATGTCGTCCTCCAGACAGCGTCATGCTATCATATTTTTCATCTACCCAGAGGTTGTGCTTCTTCCCCTTCTGAGCATTTTCTCATTGTGGAAAGTGTGGAGAACAACACAGAATCTGATAAAATAGCTTTCTACCAGTCACTCCTCCCATTGGGAAGAACATGTGTACTAGGGGAAGTCCTCCAAACTGGTGTCCAGTAGGGTAGCCACTAGTCACATGTGGCGATTTAAGTTAATTAAAAAGAAATAAAATTTAGAAACCCAGTTTCTTAGTCACACTAACCACACAGCAAATGTTCAATGGTCACAGGAAGCTAGTAGCCACCGTAACAGACAGTACAGATTACAGCACATAGCCATCATCACAGAAAGTTCTAGTGGATGGTGCTACTCTAAAGAATCCATGCTTCTGGCTGGAAATTGGCATCATCGGGATTCTTAAGTCATTGTATTCCCATAAACCAAAGAAACTGAATGCATTTTTTGGCCATAAATTCCTTAAGAACCGGGCCTGAGTTGCTATGACTGACTTTGTAGAACCCCTCAAATGCCCTCACTTGAACAGAGGTTCTTAATGTTTTTAGATGATTCTGTTGGTTCTCCAAACTAGACTCTCTGGTCCCAAGAGCAAGTATTAGGAATGACTAGGAAATTATCTCAGAGGACAGGATTTAAAGCACAAAGGCCCATACTGTCTTATTGGGTACCTACTGGGTCAAGCATGAAGAGGTCCACTCCTTGCCCAGTGGAAAGAGCCACCAGTGTTGCACTTCCATAGAGTGCATAGCCCGCGGCTACAATGTTGCGGCCAGGCTGCAGGGCATCCTTTTCAGAAGGCTCATCCTCTGAGGTCTGCAAAAGAGAAAAGGGAAACATTACTGTCTCTGGAGAGAACCCTTTGCCAGAGGCCTGCATTTCAGATCTACTTGAACCACTGGAGGAAACGCAGTTCTAGAATTTCAAGCCACAACAAATGCATCTGGAGGAAACGCGTTGCCATGTTAATGAATGGTTCTAGCTGAACCATTGCAAAGGCCATTCTTGGACTTCTCCCTGTTTTCTGAACGTATTTGTCTCCATCGTGCCAAGAACAGCACCCCAAAGTGCTAAAACTACACCTTCTCTTAAAAATCATAACCCATGCTCCTTGATGATTATAACGACCAAGGTCATTGAGCTCTGATTTTGTGCAGTACCTCATTCTACATACACAACGGCACTCCAAGGTAGATACCGTTATGACCTCCATCGTTCAGATGAAGAACTCAGAGCCTGAGCGACTGGATAACTCACCCAACATCAAGAGGAGCTGGAGTCAACCCAGGCAGCTGGGCCCAGAGCTCGTCACCGTCCATGCGCTGCCCCTTGAAGACACTGCCCCTGTCTGTCCCCAAGTCTACAGTTCTGGACGTTTTCTTGAGGAAGCCTCTCTCTTTGGCCAGCAGCACTAACAGTGACAATGGGAATGGGAATTCAGAGAGACGGGGCAAGGCAGGCATGCTGACGAAGGAAGAGCGAATGTCCTTGAAGGAGGGGCAGAGCCACACCTGAGACTGGATTTCACAACCTACTTTTCGAGGTATCTCTTGAAGGGCTCGTCCCTCCCTACTTCCTTGTGCTCAAAAAGGCAAGGAGGGACTTCCCTGGTGGTGCAGTGGTTAGGATTCCGGCCTTTCACTGCCGTGGCCCGGGTTCAATCTCTGGTCAGGGAACTGAGATCCCGCAAGCCGTGCCGCACAGCCAAAAATAATAATAAAAAATAAAGTTTTACCTTTAAACCTGGAATCTATTTTGAGATGATTTTGGTATAAAGTATAAAGTTTAGGTTGAGTTCTTTTTTTTTCCCTCTGTGGATATGCAGTCGCTCCAGCATTAATTGTTGAAAAGACTCCTTTTTCCATTGAATTGTTTTCACAACTTTGTCAAAAGCTGTTAGCCATAAATTGTGTGAAACCATTTTTGGGTTCTCTGTTCTGTTCCATTGAACATTAGTCTGTCCCTCTGTTAATATCATACAGTCTTAACTTTTAGAATAACCTTATCTATATCTACAAAATATCTTGCCAGGATTTTGAGAGAAATTGAGTCAAACCTATACATATATCAGTTTGGGGAGAATTAACATCCTTTACAATGTTGAGTCTTCCAACCCATGAACATGGTATGTTTCTCCATACAAGACATATTATTTGATTACTTTCATCAGTAATTACTGGTAGAATTACTATTCCTTTTTTTTTGAGTAACTGTAAATTGTATCATATTTTAAAGTTTAGTTACCATATGTTTATTGCTGATATATAGAAATCCAATTGATCTTTGTATGTTGATTTTGTATCCTGTGACCTTGCTGAACTCACTTATTAGTTCTAGGAAGCCGGCTTTGGTTTTGGTGTTTGTAGATTCCTTAGGAGTTCTCTACAATGGACCATCCTATCGACAGTTTTTCATTCCAATCTGTATGGTTTTATTTCTTTTTCCGGTCTCACTGCCCCGGCTAGCTCTTTCAGCATTATGTTGAATAACAGTGGTGAGATTGGACATCTTTCCCTTGTTCTTGATTTTAGAGAAAAAGCATTTTGTCTTTCACTGTTAAATATAACGTTAGCTGTTGTCTTTTTATAGATGTTCTTTATCAAGTTGAGGGAAGTTTCCCCTCTATTTCTTGCTTCCTGAGAGTTTTTGTTTGTTTGTTTTGTTTTGTTTTACAACTGAGTGTTGAATTTTGTCAAATGGTTATTCTTCATTGATGGACATGGTTCTGATTTTTCTTCTTTAAGCTTGTTGACGTGGTGGATTACACTGACTGATTTTTGAATATTGAACCAGCTTTCCATCACTGGAGTAAACCCACTTACTCATGGTATATAATTCTTTTTATGCATTGTTGAGTTTTATTTGTTAATATTATGTGGAAGATTTGCATCTATTCATGAGAGATATTGGTCTGTAGTTTTCCTTTCTGAACTGTCTTCATCTGGTTTTGGTATCTCTGTAATGCTGGCTTTAGAAAATAGACTGGGAAGTATTCCTTTCCCTTCTCTTTTCTAGAAGAGATTGAATCATCTTTAATCATTTGGTATAATTCTCCAGTGAAACCATCTGGGCCTAGAGGTCTCTCTTTTGAACTCTATTTTCTTAGTAATTATAGGGCTGTTCAAATTATCTGTTTCGTACTGAGTGAGTAATAGTAGTGTGCTTTTTAAAGAATTGGTCTACTTCATCTAAGTTATCAAATTTATGTGTGTAGAGTTAGTTATAGTATTATATTATCCTTTTGATGTCTCCAAATGTTTTAAAATATCAGAACGACTCTGAGATGAAAAATCTAGTGCATAAACATGTGTTTCTCTGATTATTTTCCCAAGAGAAATTCCAAATAATAAAAGTATTGGGTAAAATACTTTTGATACATATTGAAAAGTTGCCGTGCAGAATCTGATAAACATAAGATAGTATTGTCTTTTCAACTTGGCCAGTTTGATAGGTGCAAAAAAAGACATCTGCTTTAATTTCCATTTTGTATAATTAATAAAGTAAATTTTTATATATTTATTGACCATTTTTATTTCTTATTTTGTAAGTTGCCTGTTTGATGTCATTGCCTATTTTTCTATTGGGGTACTCATCTTCTTATTTTTAATTTTAATAGCTTTTTATATATGAAAGATATAAATACCTTATATGTTACAAACATTTTCCTCAATTGTCATCTGCCTTTTAATTTTATTTATAGTGTCTTTTTTTGGAAAGTTGATTATTTTTCTTTTAATTGAGGTATAAATTACATATAGCAAAGCACCCAAATCTTAACTATACAGTTTGATGAATTTTTACATATATATAGTACATACTGATGTAACTACTAAGATCAATTTATAGAATATTTCTAGCCACCTAGCAGTTTCTCTTATACCCTCTTTTGTCACTATCACCTCCCCCAAGGTAACCTCTATTCTGGCCTTTATCATCTGGACATCAAAAGAATAATTAGCTTTGACTGTTTTGGAACTTCTTATAAATGAAATTACAAAGCATGTGTTCTTTTGTATCTGGCTTATGTTTCACAACATATGTCTTTGTGATTTTATCTGTGTTGTTGCACATAGCAATAGTTTGTTCTTTTGCATTGCTATGTAGCTTTTTGTCGTGTGACTATCTTACAGTTTATTTATCCATTCTTATGTTGATACACTTTTTGATTTTTTTCAGTTTGGGTCTTTTATGAATAATTTGTACACATCTTTTGGCAAACGCAGGCACCCATTTATCCTGGGTGCACTCCAGAAGTGGACTTGCTGGGCTACAGTGTATCAGTATATGTTTAATACTAGCAGGTGCTATCAAATTTTTCTGAAGTGTTTGTATCATTTTCTACTCCCACCACCAATATATTAGAATTCCAGTTTCTTCATCTACAGTTGGTATGGTTAGTCTTTTTAATTTTAGCCACTCTGGTTGGGGGCGGGTGGTAAATGATGTCTCAGTGCTGTTTCCATGTCCATTTCCCTGATGACTAATGATGTTGAGCATCTCTCATGTGCTTATTAACAAGCTGGGGAAAAAAATCTCTTTTTTGAAGATCCTGTTCAAGTCTTTTGCCCACTCCTTTGATAAGATTGACAGTATTTTTTATTGATTTGTAGGAGTTCTTTATTTATTCTGTATATGAGTTCTCTGTTGGATGTATGCATTGAAAATTTTTCCATCCGTCTGTGGTTGCCTTTTTACTCTCTTAATGTTGTCTTTTTTTAAAATTAATTTTTATTAGAGTATAGTTGATTTACAATGTTGTGTTACTTTCTGCTGTACAGCAAAGTGAATCACTTATACATATACATATATCCACTCTTTTTTAGATTCCATTCCCATATCGGTCATTATTGAGTATTGGGTAGAGTTCCCTGTGCTATATAGCAGGTTCTTATTAGTTATCTATTTTATATATAGAAGTGTGTATATGTCAATCCCAATCTCCCAATTTACCCCTCCCTCCCCTTCCCCCTTGGTAACCATAAGTGTGTTTTCTATATCTGTGGTTCTATTTCTGTTTTGTAAATAGGTTCATTTGTACCATTATTTTAGATTCCACATATAAGCGATATCATATATTTATTTTTGTCTGACTTACTTCACTCAGTATGACAATCTCTAGGTCCATCCTTAATGTTGTCTTTTGATGAACCAAAGTTCTTAGTTTCAATGAAGCCCAGTTTACTAGCCTTTTCCTTCATGGTTAGTACTTTTTATGTCCTGTTTAAAAAATCTTTACCTTCCCCAAAGGCATGGAGATATTCTCCTGTGGTTTTTTTTCTAGGAGCTTTATAGCTTTACTTTTTACAGTGAAGTCTCTGGTCTTTAATTAATCTTTGTGTATGGTGTGAAGTAGGAGTCAAGTTCATTTTTTCTCATACCGATATTCACCTGGACCAGCATCACTTATTGAAGGGATCATCCTGTACAAATTAAACTTCAGTATTGCCTTTCCATAAATCAGGCAATCATTCGTGTGTGGGTTTATCTCTAGGATCTCTTTTGTGTTCCACTGGTCTATGTATCCTTATGTCAGTAAAATAGTAGAATTTTGGTGAGGTTGACTTACCCATAATAATGGGAGATGGGGTCTCCTGACCCTGTAGGGGTGTTAAAACCCACACCCTTGATTTACTCAGATCAACAAGACCAGCTCCTCACATCAGGACAACTCCCTCAGTCCTCCTCTTAAGCCTCTGGTTTTCACTTTTCTGATTCTGGTCCTCCGCCCCTTACCTTGTGTTTATTGCTTGTTCATTTCAATGAGCTCAGCCACGAATTTAAAGGATGATATATTGTATCCAAAAGTTCTGGATGTC